CCCCGTCCTTCCTTCCTTCCTTCCTTCCTTCCTTCCTTCCTTCCTTCCTTCCTTCCTTCCTTCCAAATAAGTGGTTTGTTACTGAACTTCAGCTTCAGCAAAATTCTGCAGAGGCTTAATAACAATAAATAGTTTTAAAACAAGCTACATTTGTCCTTAGTACAGTAGTCCCCTGAAATTCGCAGTGGTTACTTTCCTAAAGCATTCACGAATTGTGAAAAACCACGAATTTGGTGCCAGTGATGGGCACCAGCCGCCAAGGCAGTGTGGGTGGGAGGCACGGGCTGGGCCGGGCCGGAGGGCAGGTGTGCATGCATGGCGAGGCAGGGGTAAGGGTGGGCATGCACAGAGATCCTTTTCTCTGAGTGAGTTCAAACGTGAAGGAAACGATCTCCTTGCGAGTAAGCCAGCTTACTTGAAGGTAGATCGGCTTGGACTTGCTCAGAGAAAAATCCTGCGAAAGGCTGAAGCCGCAAACGCTGAACTGCAACTTCACGTGGGACTACTGTATATAACAGTTTGCCCCGTCCCCAATTTTTTTTTCAATTTTCATGTTCTCACTGATAGAAAGTTGTGTAACCCACTGGAAGGCTCATTGTGGACAGGGGAATTGGCCCCAGTCTTTTTAAAGTTGTCCGCTTTTGAATGAAATACTTAGAGCAGTATTTGAAGGAGTACTGTTAGTAGATGATTTGACTCTCAGAGTTCTGTGTTAGTAATATGGCAGTTCTGGAAAAATTTCAGTGATCTCCTTTTCTAAGGATTTGGGATAATGCCATCAAGGGGAAGTATATGTAAGGAGCTTTCATTTTTAGGATCAGGCATTCAGTTTTTGCATTTAAAATTCAGTTGCTGATAGATCTTTCAGCTCACTTGTCCCCTTTCCTTTCTTCCACCTTTGACCATAGCAACAAAATTCTAACTAATTAGTGGATATCAGTTGACATGTAAACACTTAAAAAATTAAGTATAGTTTTCAGTCGTCTTTTGTTTACATTAACTATGTAAAGCACTATGTACATTGATAGTGTTGTATAATAATGAAAAACTCACCATGGTTTCTGAAGAAAACAGAAATGTAACTTCAAAAATGCATCTTTTAAAATCAAACACAGACATTAAACAGTTTTCTCTTTCATTTAATGAGATAAGTATTTAGAAAATAGTGACTTAGGGGAGAATGTATATATAGGAACAATTTACTAAGCTAGAAAGATGCTTGTATAGATGGAACTCTTGTAATGCAGTGACTACATAATGCTTATTTTCTGATTTTCTTGTTTTGTCATTATTGAAAATAACTTTGTTTGCATTTTAGTTTTTATTTGTAGCTTTGGAGTTATGCCCCTGCATAGGCTCTATTTGAGAGATTCTGGAGCTAGAGTTTTAGTGGGAGTCACTCCCCTGACCCTTCCTACATGGTCAGAGATGTGACTTTTGTCTTCCCATGCAGTTCTCCTTCCACTGCCATGACTGTAGTTTCAGAGGGAACACTCTAAGCAAAAGAAAAACAATTGCAGAGCAATCTAGTCTTTTCTACTCTTCTGTTTATTCATTCTACCTTCTTTATATCTTTCTGTCATTCCGTACACTGCATCATTATTGTTGGCTTCAGGAATATTTGGAAACATGACAGTTATGTTCTCTGCACCTTTGTCTGGGAGAGTTAGTTAATCAGATCATGTTGTCATTATCTCACTGTTACCCATGAGGTCAGACAAACAGGGACTTGTGGCTTTATGTTCACCTGCGGGAGAAGGCATTTCAACCGGAAGACTCCAGTAAAGTCACTCAGTCACCCATCAACACTGCTCCAAACCTACTCTGTGTTGCATCCTGATAGAGCAGGAGGATGGCACAACCATGGGCTAGGCTGACTTCTTCATCATTGGAAGGAATGTGCAACAGTAGGAGGGGTAGGTGACTGGAGTGTTCAGTTTCAAAACACAGCATACAACTACATCGATGCCCAGTTCTTGTTAACTTCCATGTTGCATCTCACTTTAAGAAGCTCCTAACTGTGAAGCAGCCTGTGCAGTGCGAGGTTTCAGAATCAGTCCTCCTTTTATTGCTCAAGTCCTCCCAAACTGTGGATAGACCACCTGTATCAAGGGAATAAATAATCACCTTATTGTAGGGAAATCTTGTGTCCTTCACTTGATGGTTCATGATCCATTCTTTGGGTCATACCTGATGTTGTCTTGCTCTGTTTGTTGCCTTTCAGAATGCTACTGTTGAGAGTTTGCCCAGTCCAAGACTGCTAGGGTATATTACTTCCAGTTTTAGTCCACAACATGCTTGAAGTTTTGCTCGCTTACTCAATATTCAAGGGGAGAATTCTGGTCTTATATGCTAGAAGACAGCCACTGGGATCACATCTATTATGGGTATTCTTATTGCTTATTACTGTCAGTCATACCAACCTTGCCTCCTTATCGTGGCAATTGGTACTTGGTCTTTGACATTCATTTGACTCCATTGGTATTGACAATAAAAAGTTATTCATGAGTTCTGGCAGATATTCAGCATTATGAGTTAATGCAGAATGTAGCTACAGGAATACTTCTACTTTTTAAAATAAAAGCAAGTATACAGTTTTCCTCATTTAGCTAATGGAAGTGACATTTAGAAACTAATTGCTATTGTGAGACTATATTTGTTATAGGATGGCTATATTAAAGCATTAACTTTATTCAGTGGCTACATAGTGATCTTATTTTTGAGGCTCACTTTATTGTAATTTCAATATTAAAATAACTTTGGTACATTCTCATTTATAGCACACTACCTCTTATACAGCTTATGCAGAACACAAAGTAAAGTGTTGTTTTCTCTTTATATAGAGAGAAAATCTGCAGTTTGCTCCAGACTGCAGCTTGCAAAATTGGATATCTGCTGAGAAGCAGCAATAGGTCCTAGCAGCCATCTTCCCTGTTTAAAGCACCATCATCCCTGTTACTTTCTTGGAGAAGGCCCATGTTTTTTACTCAAGGGAAGATC